CTTTAAATGCACCATTTTATGAATCGCTAAAAGCTGCAGATCTTGCTCGGTTTCTGCCGACAATCTGATGTCAAGTCATGTTAGCAGATTCTGCTCGGTTTCTGCTATCAATCTGCTATCAGATTCTGTGAGCAGGTTTTGCTAGCAGATCGTAAGCCTAATGCGGACATAACAGATGCCAATTTGCTCGCAACTTTTGAGTATATCTGTTGCCAATCTGCTGGCATATTGCGCGCATTTTGCTTACTGGGTTAACTATGTACTTTGGTAAGATTATATTTATTAGAACACAGAGATGTAACAAAAGAAAAAATTTGTTCAAAATATAAAAAATATTTAATGCAAAAAAACTTGGCGCGGCTGCACCTCAACTATAGTAAAATTATTTCTTTGTGTGCGGCAGTCTGATATACATATAATAGCTACTCAATAGTTTTTGGGTACGGTCAAAGTTTCACTGCAAATGTTTCGAAGCATCATTCTATCTTTATTTTTCGTTAAATGTAGAATAAAGATAGAATGATGCTTCGAACCATTTACAGTGAGACTTTGACCGCACCTTTTGTTTTAATGTGAAATATATGAAATAAATTGTAAATAACTGTAAAGCTCGCGCGTGCGCGTAGAATATGTCTATCCGCAGTTTGTAAATAGCTTGCACGCACACGTAAGACATGTCTGTCTTTAAACTTTCGATGCAACAGCGCCAAGTTTTTTCGCGTTAAATATTTTTTATATTTTGAACAAATTTTTTCTTTTGTTACATTTCTGTGTTCTAATAAATATAATCTTACCAAAGTACATAGTTAAGTACTTAGAATTAGTTAATAATCACGGAAAAAAAGTTAAGGCGTAATCTTACTATGGACACAATTATGTTATTGTATATTGTTTTTTCACAATATAATAACGTACAAAAGTTTACTTGGTGCTACTTTTTAAGATCACTTCTTTTTTAAAACAGGTTTTTAGAGAAAGAATTGTTTTGTAGTATATAATATTTTGGAAACCAAGGTTTATATAAAAAGGAATTTTTGTATAAAATGAAAACTGACTTAGATTGTTTTTGTATAAATAAAAAATAATAATGAAAAACATATATTTGACAGAGAAACAATTCTGCGAGCAAAACTTATTCATAAGATAAAGATTTGTGTAACTGCGATTTAAAATCATATAAATTAAACTTTTGTTAAGAACTTTTGTCCTTACCATTTTTCTACACACATATGACACTTTACTTTCTGATAAATTTGTAAACAGATATGTATAATTGTACATGTAATATTCACTAAATAGTACAAAATAAAATGTGTTATAAATGTGCAGATATTTAGCAATGCAGATTAACTAAATATTGATTGATATTTAGTAATGCAGATCTAACTAAAACCATTACTTAATGTTTTACACTAATTTTAGATGAAAAAAATTTAACGCTAATTATATAAACATAACTATTATTTGTACTGTCTTAAAAGTTTTTAAAATATTTTTTATCCTTAATATTTTATAATGACGATTTAATATAAATTTTATCTTTTGTTATAGTCTTTTACTTAACTACAGTTATATTTTTGCATTCACTGTAAATTTTTCATCACAAAAAGCAAATAATCAAATAAATAAATATTGGATGTAAATTTCTCCAAATATAATAATTTAATTTTCAATTTTAAGTTTTTATATGATAAAAAAAAATTATATTTTATACGTTAATTAATTAATTAAAGTATATACGTTAATTAATTAATTAAAGTATATAAAAATCGACGTTTTATTAGCGAACTGTTCGTTGTTAGATTGTGACGTAAAGAATTTTAAGCTTATTATTCTTTTTAATTGCTTGTGATAATAGAAATAACACATTAGCATCAGTATTCTTAGTAATCGCGTCAATCGCGCTGATATATAGATCGGATCTTGGGTTGCTGACGGAGACTGAAAAAAAAAAAACAACGCGTGGTAGTGAGAGGAGGCTGGAAGAAAACTACTTTCCCTGATGCGACACAATATGGTGCACTTTACTAAATTATATAGAAAAGAATTACCTATCTAGTGTACGTCGATAATATCCATCTATATCTTGGTTGTTTGATGAACTCGATATGTCTGTAGTACTTTGAGAGACACTCAATCCATAAAATGTACTACCAGCAATTGTCACTTGTAAATCAGGAGAATTTGAATTAAAATCTTCTTTCCTACATATACAACAGGTGATCATCTTTAAATATAAACATATAAAGTGTTCCTTTTTTTTTCTCTTTTTTTTAAAGAATCTTTATGTACTCACTTGTTTGGTGTTGACGTAGGAAGTACTTTTCTGTAACTTCTAAACTGTGCAGTTGGAACAGGAATATTTTGATTCCTGGCACTAAGAAACTTCAAGTATTTTCGATCTAAGCTTGCACCAGTAATTTCATGTTCTTTATATGTTCCAATATCCTTCCCTGCAGTTTTTTTCAATGAACCAAATGATTTTTCTAGATTTGGTTTAGATTCTGGTACATATTTTGTCTTATTCTTATGATTTTCATTGTCGCTTTCATCAGTTTCGCTAAAGAGACCGATACTGTGAACATCTGCGCCTAAAGTGCCTTTATTAATCGCATCCAGCCATACTGTCAAACAATCTTCAGTATCAGCAGCAAAATAAAACACTGTCCCTGTATGATATATTTTGAAGGCATACTTTCTCGATTTTACCTCGACAGCAAGTGATACAGTAAAACCCGTTAACACAATTAAACAGTCAGCTTTCATGCTGTCCTGTGTTTTAAATCTGATAATAAAACAATAAGATTTTTGTTATTATTGGTTTCTGAAATACAACTTATATCATAAAACATGTATATTTCAAACAAATTTACCTGTATAATGATGAACACTTTAATACAAACCAGGCTTTTAACCACGCACCACCCGCCCCTTTACTACGATATATTAACCATCCATCTAAATCACCAGTACCAACTTCTTTTACGGATACGTTTCTTCTTTCTAAAAAAAAAAAATTACACCATGATTTAGATTCCAAGTTAAAAGAATTAAAAAGTACAAGACATCAAGAGAGAAAAATCGAGCCTTAACTCGCGCACTTACTTGCCAGTAAAATATTCTTTTTTCTATTGCTTCTTGGACTGCTGTTAGATTTGCTCAAACTACCATGTAAACCAATACTTCTAGCTACCATTATAGCTCTATTAACGACACTTTTCTCAAAACTTTTTTCTTTCTCTGATAATTTTGGTTTTATGTCCAAAGATGTTGTTTGTTTTGAATATATTATACTGTCAAGACATTCGCCATTACGGGAAAAATAATCAGATTTAGAGCAATCTGTTTGACTTGAATAAACAAACTTTTCAGCAAACGGCTCGAAAGAATATTTTTCTTCTTTCGATTGTTTATTTTCGGTATACAACGAAACATCAGACTGCATAAACTTTTGACTGTGTGAACTTGTAGTTCGTGATTCATTAATAAGACCTATTGAGTTTTCTACATAGTTAAGCATACGTGCTTCAGAAAAATCTTTTTTATCCTGACAATTTGAATTACTTCTAGTATGATTTGCAAATAAATCTACTTTCTTACACTCTTGTCTTGAGTTAGTTCTTTCCGGAACTTGAGGTTTCTCTAAATCTTCTGAATTTTTTGAAGCGTTGTTTAAGTCAAGTACTGTTTGTTTCGCATTATATATACGAGGTGGCGGTTCTGGCGGTGTAATATAAGAATTATTGTCAAGCTTTCTAACAGATTCGATTTTTGATAATTCTCTATAGCGGCAAGATGTAGTAGCATGCTGTAATGTACCTGTATCTGCAGATTTTGCATTTGCAGTATGCAACTTTGAGTTAATATGTATTTTTGAGATATTATGAACAATGTTTAACGGAAGATCATCTTCAATAAAGTTAGCCATATTGCTTGACAAAATCTTTGTTTCAATGGAAGATTTCTTTTCCAAATTAATATCACGAGAACCACAGTCGATAATTTGTACTTTTTTGCCAAATATTTGTAATGTTTTGTCTTTTTCGATACTGCTGCATCTACTGCTATTGTTACTATTGTTATTACTATTATTATCATTACTATAACCACCACTACTACTAGTGTTACATGCTTCAGTGTTTGATATTTCAGAATTACTGAAATCAACATTTTCGTGTTGACATTCACATGCTAACTGTGTCGAACAAACAGTTTGGGAATCTTTGTTTAGGACATTTTCGCATCTCGTGTGTAACTTTTTGACAATGTATCTCTCTTCATTAACAGCCAATATACTAGATTCAACATCACTTTGGTTTTTGTTTTTTATACTATTCTTAAGATTTACATCAGTCATCATCGTGTGTACGATATTCTTACGAGAATCTATTTTCTTAAGTACCTTAGAGACACATGTTTCCTCCATATTCTTATGTACAATCTGTTTTTCGATGTTATCGATTTTTTGTGCGACATTACCGTTACATCTTTTAAAAAAAACTTTTTTACGTTCTTTGTTTATATCTTCTAACTTTCTACAATCAACATCTTCAGTAGATGTACAAGCATTCTTTGTCAAACTTGATACATTGTTTAAACTATGAATAGAGGCGAAGTTGTTAAACGGGTTTTTAAGAAGAGCTAATTTCTCATTTTCTAAATCCTCGGTACTTAACAAGTCACGTACAGAAGTGTTATATCTTTTGTCTAATTCAATAGATTCTTTAACATGTAGTATCTCATTTATTTTGTCTTCCGATATGTTTGTGTTAATACTGTGTGTACCGCTAATAAAAGTATTACATTCATCCAAAGGCACTATTATATCACTTGAATTATTACTATCATTGATATTATCTGTAAGTGCTTGTAAGTTTTCTTTATTGTCATCTTTATTTGCAATATCGGCACAGTTTTGTATAAAAGAAATGTTTTCTTTTGTATTGGAAACTGTTTTTCTCGTACTATTCGAATAAATTATTTCACTATCAGACAGTTTTTCTTCGAACTGCATCTTTTTTTCATTCATGTGTTCATCAGTCTTTTTCTTTCGTTTTGTCGATTCTATTCCTAAACATGTTTGAGGTCTTATATTTACATTATCCAAACCATGAGCACAAGACGCTGCTTTCTCACGTAATTGAAAAGTCGTTATATGCTCTTGCTTCAATTCTTTCCAAAATTGTTCTATATTGATACCATGTTTGGTTGTGGGACTGGCACCTGTTATTGTCGCTCGCCTTTGGATTAAGTTTCTTGGTTTTGTAGAATACAAACAAATAGGAAAAGGCTGTTCCGCTTCACTGTCTGAACCGCTACTATCAGTAGTTATGTTTTCTGTATCTAATATTGTTGGTTCTGGACAGGGATTCTTTGGTATATGTCTGAACAATAAAATATATTTATTAGTTATAAACCTAAATGTAAGATTTGTATTTATGTGTGAATGAATTGAAGAAATAAAAGACTGCAATAAAACAAAAGAGAGTCGTTAAAAAGTACCGATTTTTGCTCATCATCTAGGAAGTAAAATACATGTGGATTATTGTTGTTGATACTTTACAGAATATTAAAACATGTTTTTTAAGTTTGAGACCAATGGGAAGTTAATAAGATTTGATAATAAAGATAATATGATATTACGATATCAGTGGTTTTCAAATGTCGTGTAGTATCTCGCAAACGGTTTGACCAATTTTCTTCAAATTCAGTACGGAAGTACTTAGGAGACAAGATAATATTCCTGTTGATTTTTGGAGAAATCGACTTGAGCCTTCAAGAGAAGGTGAAAAAAATATTTTGTCATAGAAACTGTTTGCAGAAACGCTATAATACGGAAACATGCATTAGTGTTGCTAAAGCTGTTAGCACACAGAGACAAAGGACGCAACAACTCTGTTTACAATATACATAAGAGTATTGCGGCCAACACGATTCCATATATGTCAGTGAAATTAACAACAAATAGATAGTCAATAGCAAGCAGCTCTGCTTTTAGCAATACTGTGACCAAATAGTCCGCAAAACCGTAACAGCATCTGCTTACGACAAAACGGTGATCGAAATAGGGTCGATCTGTTAAACGCATTGACGACAGATTACCAGCAAACGCTAAGCAGGTCTGTTCTGGATTTGATGCGTCACTTTGGCTTCGTTTTGCTAGTGGCAGATCTGTTATAATTTTGGTCTCATCTTGACATCTTGCATGTTTGACAAACATGGTCACCATAATCTAAAGAAGACAGATGAATATGGATTTGGTCTACAAATTTTGCTGGCGGTTGGCGACAAAATCGCGACATCCCATAACCAAATTGTTTTTTTTTGCTGGGTATCGAATGTAAGGTAGGCTATGTTCTCGAGTAGTCGGGTGTTGTTCATACGTCGCAATGATTGTATTTAAATTACACTAAATATTTAGATAAAATTCACTTGCCTGGAAATGATCTGAGCAACATATTTGTGATACAGAGAATTGTTCTGATGATGACGAAAATGAGGATAATGAATAAATAAAAACATTGATGTTATTCTGTGACCATTGTCTAGCTTAGTCTAGTTGCTACGCGTAAATTCTAGAACTTTCCATGTTTATTTTAAGTATCATAAAAACCGACGGTTAGCGATAAAACCGTGACGCACCACCGACTCTTCGAAATACCTTACCATATAAAGCAATCTTTCGACACAGGAAATGATTGTCCTAACACACAGCCAAATCTAGAACATTCTAGATTATTCTCGAACATTCGAGAATGCTCTAGAATATTACTAAATAAGGAAAACTCCAGAACTGTCTTTGGCCGAACTCAGGCCCTATAAAAGCGCGCCCTCGAACCGAGGCGGGCAGTCAGAATCAAGCAGTCAAATACAGTCGGTCAGTTTTACCTATCATTTTGTCAAAGTAATTATTGTAAGCGTCGCGAATAATAAAATAAGTGAAAATTGTAATAGTGATATAAAAATTGTGAATAAATCAAGTTTTTAATCAACCTGTGGCGACGATTCTTACAATTCAAAAAGATAGAAAAACCTCTCTATAAGCTACTTATAATAGTAAAGATAGCGCCGTGAATCATAAATGGTAAAAGGCCTCATCTCAAATTGTAAGAGACAAGGGGAGTCACTTTAAATAAGCACCCTAAATGGTGAGAGGCAAGGAACTTATTTTAAATAAGCACCACTTACTTTAAATAAACCCAAATGATAAGAAGCAAATGATTCACTCTAAACAAAACCTAAAATAGTGAAAGGCAAGAAGACTCACCTTAAAAAAGGAGCTCAAATGGTAAGAGACAAAGGAACTCGACTTAAAAAAGCATCTCAAATGGTAAGAGATAAAGGAACTCACCTTGAAAAAGTACTCAGAATGGTGAGATGCATGGAAACGTTCAAAACGCACAATTAACCAAGGATTATCAAATATTTTCAACCTGTCATAAGCGATATGCTAACATAAGACATAAAACTTCCCTCCCTCTCTCCTGTGAGCCTGAGTCGATTTCCCCCAAAATAAAAAAAAAATATTACCCTGTCCTCAAAGTACTTCCGTTTCGAATTTGAAGAAATTTGGTCAAACGTTTACAAGACACATGACATTTGAAAATCGCTGATATCGTAGTATCACATTTTTATTATCACGTCTCATTAAGTTCCCATTACTGGTTCCCAAACTTAAAAAACATGTTTTAATATTCTGTAAAGTATCAACAACAATAATCCACATGTATTTTACTTCCGGATGATGAACAAAAATCGGTACTTTTTATCAATCCTACTTTTTTCTTCCATCAATATTCATTCTACAATGTCGTCGTCGGGATTCGCTAATTTTATGTTTAAAGTTAGATCATTCATCAAATCGATACTGACTAGAATCATTGGAACGACTTATTAAAACAGGTCTCATGTAAAATAAGCCTTAATAATGTTTGGTCCATTACAAGAGTATACTCTGTTTAACAAGAGAATATATGTGGTCTGCGCGTAAAGAAAGCAAAGTAAGCAAAATAGAGAGAGCGTAGCTGCATGAGACGGCACTGTGAAGAAGAAAGCTTTCTAAGCGTTTTGATTAAAACGCTCTCATTTTTCTCTCTGCTATTAGTTTAGCGCGACGCTGAACCATCCTGTTTTATCAACGGAATACGTCATTTTAATAGATCTAATTTCATTTACTGTATTAAATCAAAAACGCCTTTACAAAAGTAAAGAACGTAAAACAACACACTGAAAAGGATCAAAAGTTACACTTTCTTACTATCACTTAAACGTATTTTTCTATTTTTAAACCATTTCTGGGCATTGTATAAATATGCAGGCACTAGACCGAGAAGCGGATGACATAAAAGAATATAATGGAACTTTCACAATGTGATTTTATTGTCTAGTTTACGAGAATAGTTAGATCTTCTAATAAAGCACATACGATAGTAGAAAGAATACGCACACAAGCAAACAGTTGCGTACGTGTGCATATCCTCTCCATTATCAGACAGGCAAACCGAACAAGAGACAAGAAAAGAGATATACTTCTATTCTTGTATAGAGGGCATCACCTACAGGACAGCATAGCAGCAAAAACTTTAGGGCCTTCTACAAGACAGAGGTCGTTGACAGCGTCATTCACTTAAGCTTTGCGAAGTTTGAATTTTGAAGTGCAAAAAGGATTTGAGAAACCCAGATTTGGACAGAACGTTGGCATTTCGAAAAGTAAATTTTTTTTCAGTTTGAGCATTTCTAATGTATTAAATAAGTGATTTTTTTTATAAGTTTATCAAAATATATATACATTTATAGCGATTTATTAGGTCATGACGCGCAGAAACGTTTCCACTATTTCTTTGAAACTACTAGAGATTTTTTCAATTTGTTTTTTTATCAACGCAGAATTGTTTAAACTTTCTATTTAAAAAATGTCCAAATATTGCTAAAATGCTGATTTATTGCTAAAATATTGCATATCAAAGTTGGGCGCAAGAAAAATGCATTCTTCAAAAAACAAATTAAAAAGGCCCATTGTGAAAATAACTTAGTTTTTAATTTTACAATTTTTAGAAGACACTTTTTTTGTCCTTAAAAATACAAACAATTTCCTACAAAACGGCGGTAGAATTTTGTAAAAATCTTAATTACAAAACAAATTATACATTTTTATACAAAAAGCCTTTTTTCAAAAAAAAAAAAAAAAAAAATTGTCAGATTATTTTTTAAACTTTTATATATTTGAAACTACTGAAGATTTTTTAAATCTGTTTTGTTTTGATCGACGCAGAATCGTTCAAACTTTCGATTAAAAAAAAAAAAAACGAAATTGAAAACAGTGATTTTTTACGAAGATATTCGATCTTAAAGGTGCGTAGATTTCACAGACTCGGACAACTCGTAGATTTTTTAAGTCTGACTTTAGAGAGTTAAGTATACCATGGCTTAACTATAATTTTTGACTAAAACTATGTGCTATATATGTGCTTTATGTATTTTTGTTATCAAAAAATAAGAGAATTTTTGCAGCAAGAGATGTATTAAAAAAGACAGCTTACCTAGGTAATGGCATTGTAAAGTCAGGTATTGTTAATAACTCTGGTCTAGGAGATGGGAGATTATGTTGCCATCGTGTTGTATAAAACATCTTGTTACTTGGAAGTCTATATGGTTTTATATAAATTTGACCATAAACTTTAGTATGTCTTGGTCTACGTTTCAAAGTCAAAAGAATTTCTGCTGGGCTTTCATGAAATAATTCAAGCACATTTTTTCTCTCCCAACCAACTACTGTTTGATAATTTACCTGATAAATTTACAAATGTATTTTATAGCAAAATACAACATACTGTCATCTAATATACAGAATATATATTAATAAATACATATAGAGTTTTAACACAATACACAAACACATACCTGAACTATTTCATCTCCTTCTTCCATTTTACCACATTGATGTGCAACAGACCCAAACTTAATTTCTGCTATTTGATGTGTCCCATGAAAAGATGGTAAAATATAAAATCCCTGAGGAAAAAAAATGAACTATATACATAATTTAGAAATTACATTAACAAATAAGAGCTTTTACTTGTATTCTTATATCTTTGCAATGTAAATGTTATCTATAAAGGAAGTTATAATCACAATATATGGCTTGTTTGATAGAGCTTTATCAATACAGGATGTAATGATCAAATCATTCTTCAATTCAAAGTGACTACAGCTGGTCAATAAATAAATAGTTAAAAGAGAAAATTACCGTATTAATATAACCGTATTAAATAAATTAAAGAATATATTGTTACATCCGTGGAAGCAGAGGGGCCACTCACACACTTTTTAGAACAGCTCGCGCGCGCTCGCGAAAACAAGAAGGCTTATTTAAAAGACCTTTATTAACACGTAATGATTACAGCGATACAATACAATTCCGAGCAAGTCGCCGAAACACGTTTTGACAGCTCCGCATTCAGATTCAGAGACCAATCAATAAACAACGCCCGTCATCAGTCAACCAACGAATATCCAGTGACCGCGGCGTAACAATATTTATTATAAACAAGAGAGAGAGAGAGAGAGAGTGTTTATATTATAAAACTAAATATACTACTAGTTAAAGACTATTTAACAACATGATGTATTAAGGTATTCCTAATACATTTATGTATCATAGTTAACAATCTTACCAAATCATCAGATTTTTTTTTTAATGTTGCTAGATCCAAACTGGAAGGTTGTAAAATCATTGAATCAACAATATCTCGAATAATATAATCTGCTAATATTGCTAGTTGACTGCATATTGCTCTGATTTCTTCAATTGGCTTTTCAGCAAATCTATCTCTTTGTGCACACGTGGCCATTTCTAAAGATAGTTTCATTAATTCAGCTTTTTTGTCATTATATAACAATTTCCCAGTGAAGGGAGGGCGATCTAACCATCTTACTAGAGGTTTTACTGTCATCATAACTGATGCCACATTTGATAATGATTGAGTAGTAACAGAGTTTGAATCAGTTTGGTGAGATAACTCATTATACAAACTGTGTGCTTGGCATGAAAGTCGCAATGCTAATAGCTGAAGATTTTCTCTGTCCAGCTCATAATGAAGATTTCTTAGATATTCTACAGCCTCAAAAATAATTTCTTGATGTCCAATTTTTAATATACCCAAACGATCTAAATCTTCTGGTTGTAAATTCAATAATCGTTGTCCATTAACATTGTGATTCATAAAACTATGGACATAAGGATGAATAGAATTATCTAAACCTGTGACAAAAAATATTATTGTTTATATTATTGAAATAATGAATACATTTTTAGAATAATTTGTATATCAATATCTTTCTGAGTAAATATATTAACTATTGTATTATAAATTGCACATGTACCTTTCTGACAATAAAAAAATAACTACTATAACCATAGAAAGAATAACTATAACATATTAAATCAAGTAAATGATATGTAATCACTAACATTAATGTAAAATATCATAAAGAAAAAAAATAATTAGAGGCTGTTTAAGTAACATTTTTATTAAAATTTTAACAGCTACAATTTTAGCATACATGCATTTATTATGCATTTATAATATGATTGACACATAACATTAAAAACAAGTAAATTTTACACAATCATTTAACTGACTTCTGTGTGTGACTCTTGTGTGCCTTCTGTCAGTTCAATGATTGTGTCATCGAGAAGAAATCAAAAAACGAAGAAAAGTACACTGAAAAAGATTTTGACATACTTTTTGTAGCACAATTCATGTCCACCTATTTTTTCAACATTTAAATACCAAGTATATTATCAACACTGATAAAACAATCTCAAACATATACCTTTTAACCATTCGCACACCTGATCCGTTTTCCATTCCGCTACATTAACATACGCCATGATTCGACTGCATTTGGGTTATTTGACTGTGATTATCGTCTATAGTTTATTCTTTGATTCAGTTGCAGCAGAGAGAAGCCTGAGAGCGGCCAGGCTCATAAGAAAATGTGTAATCACTTTTCCGCCCTGTAAGCCAGCGCAATGTTCATAGTGGTGCACATTGGCAACTATGTAGCCATGGTATAAAAAATAAGAGATCTGTTCTTTTTCCATACTTTGGCTGCACTAGTTCACAGTCTATCTTTTTTTATCTATATTAAAAGGAAAAAGATAGACTGTGAACTAGTGCAGCCAAAGTATGGAAAAAGAACAGACCTAAGGTGAACCGCTCCGAGAATGCGCAGTCGTCCAAGAAAATGGCGGCAATGGCGAATGCAGGAACTACACCCGTGCCATATATGTAATACTCCTATATTGCTAGTCGCGTATCTTCGCAATGAGAGGCACGAGGCCCGAGAAAGGGAGACGCACGAAGTCCAAATATGGGCATAGATNGTCGAGCGTCATTATGCGCAGGCGCATCTACCAAGTGAGTGCGAGCGAGACAAAGCATTGGAAAGAACGCGAGAAAGAGAAATGCCCAAACGCGCTTGAATGTTCACCGCATGCGCACAAAGCAGCTGGAGAGAGAGGCTACTATATTGTCTGCACCGTAACGGTGAGCTTCAGGTCGGCACCCATATATGTAATACTTCTATATGGCTAGTTGAGCTCTCAGCGCGGTCCCAACACTACGGTGCAGACAATGCTCTACTTTCTTTATTACTCTTTATCACTGTTCAGTTTGTTCAAAAGCGCATGCGTGACATGTATCCATAATGGGCTGCGTTCAGAAATTCAACTCTGGGTTAAAAAGTTACTCGCTGCCGTTCAGAAATTAACTTGGGTTAGCCAAAATTAACACACTAGTGGCGTTCGAAAATATCGAGTAATCACATTAGAGTTAACTCTAAGAGTATTTTTTTAACCTTTGGATTTTCTGTGGTTAATAAATAACCCGTACTATGGTTGCGTTCCGATTATCACTCCCAGTATTAAAAATGTATATTTCACATCACATGTGTTATAGATTTCGAGTTCTGGTAATGAATATCGGAACGCAGCCTATTTTGGCGCAAAGTGACGAAGCAATAAAAACAGATTATAATGGAAAACATTAAAACTGTTGCATGTGTCGAGCCAATTGCGGGACGTCACGCAACATATGTAACAGTAATTTATGATTACATGTTACAAGTGTTACTATCAAAAATATCTGATTTTTCCGATTCTGATCTGCCATTGTTATTTACTCTATTCTTCGTTCGGAAAGTCACTTCCTAAATGCTACTCTGAGTAGAGTTTTATGTTTTACCACGTTCAACTCTACTCTACCCGACGAGTAAATTTCTGAACGCAGCCATGCTTATATTGACTGCGTTCCGATATTCACTGCCAGTACTGAAAATCTATAGCACATGTGACGTGAAGTATAACCTCGAAATTTTCCCGCAACGCTTGCGCATTACCAATTATTGAACACTCCTCCTACTCTTTCTTGGAGAGCCAATAAGCATCTATCTTCTATCCTTCAGTGTTGGGACAAGTCCCGCTTATGAAAAACTTGCTCAACTAGCCATATAATGTCTGTTCGTTTTACCTGAACTGGCCGCTCTAGGTCAGAGTTTATCTTCTTTACTCTACGTTGGAAAAAGAAGGATAAACTCTGACCTAGAGCGGCCAGTTCAGGTAAAACGAACAGACATATAGGAGTATTACATATATGTCGGCACCGTACTAGCAATATAGGAGTATTACATATATGACCCGTGCGCCGTTTTATTTTAAGAGCCGTCTACAATGGAGAGTTGTAGGCCGTAACAGTAAGAAATTGACAAATCACAATCGATTATTCTTCTGTACTTTGTCTGTGATTGGTCAATTTCTTACTATTACGGCCAACAACTCTCCATTGTAGACGGCTCTTTAGGATAATATTACATTTGTCTTACGACAAAGATTTTAAGTATGTTGATTGGCTATCAGATAGAGTTTTATAAAGAACTGTATTTAGTAAAGAGCCGTCTACAATGGAGAGTTGTAGGCCGTAATAGTAAGAAATTGGCCAATCACAGACAAAGTACAGAAGAATAATCGATTGTGATTTGTCAATTTCTTACTGTTACGGCCTACAACTCTCCATTGTAGACGACTCTTTAAATATGATTGAATCTTGCCTTTAGATCTTCGCTGGATTTAAATGTAGAAACCAATCATATTGAAGAATCACTAAGTGCTCACTGATCTGCTCAGTCTGCTGAACATGGGGTGCGTTCAGACAACTCAACGGTTGAGAGATCATCGCTTATGATAGGACTATTCTTCAAAATCTGCTGCGGTTCCAAAAGTATGATCCAATCAGAAGTGATTATCTCTCAACCGTTGCGCAACTGTTGAGTTGTCTGAACGCACCCATGGTCAATCAATCCCCAGTATGATAGGATACGTAGGAAAATTTCGATCTACAATTTGGCACCTCTGCTTGCATGAGCATCCGCACTGTTTGTTCACGGAACGGAGATCGTTCTGTTGCGTAGTAGGGTGTCCTATGTATAGTAGAGAAAACGTGTTCGTGAAGCGGCTCGTGAGAAAAATCGACATGATGATTAGCGACATCGGTTTATGTTTGTATGCAAGGTGCACAGTCGTTATTATAACTGGTGATGTTAGAACTAAATCTATCAGCAGTGACAATGCGTTGTGATCGTAGTACTTGTTCGGTAAAGTCGTCGTCGTCACCGACATCGACGTCATTGCCGTCATTGACGTCGCCGTCGACGTTGTCGTCGTCGCGGTTGCCAACGCAGTTACCGTCGTTGACATCATCTTCGTCGCTGTCGCCGTCGCCGTCGCCGTCGCCGTCGCCGTCGCCTTCATCATCATCATCATCATCATCATCATCATCATCATCATCATCATCATTATCATCGTCATCATCATCATTATCGTCTTTATCATCATCTTCATTGTCACTAGTGTTACAAAGCGCACATTGTCATTGTTTATCTTGGTATTTGGCACTATTATTCTTGACACGGTCTATCGTGGAATGGCAGCTGCTTCAAAGAAAAACCACTCACGCAGAAGATTGGCTGCCTTAACATTCCTGTCTAACATCTCTCTCGACGGCAGTCACCGGGATACAAGATTAGCTGTACTATCGCGAAATGAACCGACACACACATGTAAAGTTAGCGAGAGCCAGTCAGATCAACAAACAGTGATTGATGCATGTCAAAGCACTGAATTCGAAGTTCACTCTATGGAAGAGATTTTGGATGATTATCCGGAAGAGACACATGATTTCCTGCAAAATGAAGTTATAGAGCAGACTAATTTCGTACAATCGCATAAATGTGTTGATCATAACTCTTTTAGTTCCGATTCCGATGGGTTACTCACACCTGCCAAGGCAGCAGTCACCATGTTTTTAGAACAGGAAAGGAATCACTTGCAGTTGTCTTGGGGAATACATGGTTCTTTCAGAGAACGGTAAATATTTTTCAGTTCTATTACATAAAAACAGATAATGTATACATACATCATATACTTACGAAATAAGACTACCTATGTTTTTTCTTTATATTTCTGTGCCTAAAGAAAGGTCGTCTTTGTGTATTTATGTATATCAAACTTGTTAACCCTTTAAGATCAGATGTGAGTCTCCCAGACTCATCCAAAAGTTTTAAATCGATGTCTAAACTACGATGTGCTAAACTACTACCTCTAATAGATAATAGTTTAGCGCAACATGAAGGCGTGACACAAAACTTTAGGGCCTTAGCAACGGTAGAGATCGTTGACAACGTCATTTGTTTAATAGCTTTGTGGATATTTAATTGTGAAGTGTAAAAAAGGTCTGAGGGCTGAAGCACAGATTTTTGCATATGCATAAGACAAAAGAATCAACCAATCAAAGCCTTTTAGAACAAAAAGTGGGAATGGAAATGGAAGGCTGGATTGGTTGATTTTCTTAGCTCTTAGGTGTTATGCATTATGGCTAGTCTACAATGAAGGTCATAAGACTGTAGGAGTGGAGAGTAAATTATTTTTCGGTGAAGAAACGACGGGAATAACGAAATGGACAATTCCCATTTCGCACTGCCTACTGCCTTACTGTTAGCCAATGAAAGACGTGTGTTAAAAAACGCGAAATAATTACTTGTATAGACAAAAATAAAAGAACTCCAAGAACCTTACTCCTTACTCTATACTGCCTATTCCCATTGTAGACTAGCCATTAAGCGTCGTCTACAATATAGTCGTAAGCCGTAAGCCGTAAGAAAGTGACTAATCACAATCGATTATTCTTCCGTGATTTGTCTGTGATTGGTCACTTTCTTACGGCTTACAACTGTATTGTAGACGATGCCTTATGCAAAAGTCTATGCTTTGGCTCTGAGAGACCTAAGTCTAGCCAAGACGTTGACTTTTCGAAAAGTAAGTAAATTTTTTTTCAGTTTGAGCTCTTATATAAAATCAAATAATTGATGTTTTTTTTTTATAATTTTATCAAAATATATACAGGGTGTCCCAGAATTGCCGTACAATCTCTCGTAGGCAGGTAGAAGGAGTAAAACTGAGTCGAAAAGTCCTGAACCATTTTTTTCTATTATTTATAATAAAAGAGTAATTATTGAGTAAATCAGGCCAATCAGCGTAGNATTGGCCTGATTTACTCAATAATTATTCCTTTATTATAAATAATAGAAAAAAATGGTTCAGGACTTTTCGACTCAGTTTTATTCCTTCTACCTGCCTACGAGAGATTGTACGGCAATTCTGGGACACCCTGTATACATTTACAACGACTTATTAAATTATGACGCGCAGAGTATGCGATTTGCGGAAACGGGAGCTGCCACCCGGAAAATTTAAAAAATACTGAATTTTTGCGGATATATTCGATTTTAAAGTCGCGTAGACTTTACAGATAAATTCTGACTAAGTCATTTTTGAAGTCTGATTTTAAAGAGTTAAGATTTTGTAATATGATATTGAGAAAAATACATTTTTAAATAATTCAGAAATATATATAATTTGTACATCGACAGTTTTAAATACAATATTTCAGCATTAAATTATGTTGTAAATATGTGTTAATCTTAAAAGTTTTATTGAATAAACAGCATATGAACAAATAAAACATCATTTATCATAAAATATTTATTAATAAAGATAAATAGTAATAGATTTATATTAGTAATAGATTTATATTATCTTTTAAATTTTAGCATTATATAATAAATAATCTAGCATTATATAATATAATTAACACAAAAATACGCAGTTATAAATTTGTATCCGTTTACATGAAATAGCTCGCTATCTTGTATTGGGCGACCATTTCATAATAGGCACCTTTATTTATTATACTATATAATGCGAGATTATTTATTTTTAACACAAAAATACGCAGTTATAAATTTGTAGCCGTTTACATGAAATAGCTCGCTATCTTGTATTAGGCGACCATTTCATAATAGGTACCTTTATTTATTATATTATATAATGCGAGATTATTTTTAACACGAAAATACGCAGTTATAAATTTGTAGCCGTTTACATGAAATAACTTGATATCTTGTATTAGGCAACCATTTCATAATAGGCATCTTTATTTATTATATTATATAATCCTAGATTATTTATTTTATATATATATATATATATATATATATAATGCTAAAATTTAAAAGATAATATAAATCTAATTGTAAATGATGTGTTGGGTCCGAATCATTTACACGAAAACATCAAACTTTTTGTTAGTGTCGCTAACTGCTAAGACAACGGAGATTCTGTAAAGGGGTTATCGTATAAGCGCGGAGAAGAAAATAAATCATTATAAAACTTTAAAATATGTATTTGATATTTTTATGTCGTAGGCTTCGCTGTCATTTCAATTCACTCAAATGTGCATATGCATTATGAGTGATTTATCATGTAGTTGTGTCAATTTATTGCATACTTTGTCGGTATAAACTTAAACTTTCCACAATTTTATAATTTTTAATATGAGACACGCAGCCGTTCTTAATATGAGATACTTTATATTAAGAACTATCAAGTCCTTTATTCTGTCAATTTCTTTATTTGATGTATTAGTAAGTTTTTAGTAATCATATTTTGAGGAAGAAAAGAAGAAGCAATCGTGATCTTACAGTCACAATTAGAGACTGTAAGAAGCAAAAAAATAAAATATTCAAAAACATCTAACTAATTCAATGTCCCAAAGCATACTATTGACTTACTATTGACTTACTAACCTTCCTATAGGAAAGAAACTCTTTGTGTCTCATATTAGGAATCTTTTTTTGAGCCAGCAAAATCGGCACTTTTGATTTAAAAAAGTCCCATAAAACAGTATATTTATTATCGATTGCTACCTTTTGGCGATAAAACTTGAATATATTTCCCATAAGTTTAACATAAAACTACAAGTTAAAATTACATAAATTATTTAATAAATTACAATCCTTTAAAAAAAGGGCTTCATAATAGACATCTTTACTCTATCTTGGCAAGTTTTTGTTGTTTTTAAGAAATAAGTTTTAAGGTTTTGTTTTATATGCATTATATATGAAAAATAAGCAATAAGAATTCTCTAAAGTGATTTTAATTTAAAAATGCAGTAAAATAATTTAACCAAATATGTATAATACATATGTGATAATTCTACTAATTGTTTGAAATAGTAAACCATTCTAATTCTTGAATGTATTGTTCTGAACTATGTTAATGTCAGTTTTATATTGATGGTTCGTAGAAATTGAATTTACTTCATCAGAGTTTAGGGAACATCTAGTAGTATCAGATTCTTGAATTCTTATGAAGTGAAATATCTAAAAAAAGGAACATAAAAATAACAGTTCAAATCCAGAAATTATATTCAAGAATTCTTTTAACATATTGCAAAAGCAAATTACATTATAATTATTAGGACTGCGAATAGTGACGTCGTCGACTATTTGTAATCCGGATACTTCGAAGTATCCGGATTTCAAATAGCTGAGGAACGAATATTCGGATATTTGTACGCTTCGAATAAAACGGATAGAACAATTCGAATAATGAAGGTTGCATTGTGCAGTCAAACATGTAACTTGCGACATTTCTTCCTCATCATTTTATATATATACATATATACAGGGTGTCTCAGAATTGGTGTGACATATCTCGTAGACAGGTAGAAGGAGTAAAACTGAGTCGAAAAGTCCTGAATCATTTTTTTCTATTATTTATAATAAAGGAGTAATTGTTGAGTAAATTAGGCCAATCAGCGCCGACCTTTAACCAGGCGCACATCAATGAGCCGCGCGTCTGGTGTGTGTGAGCGCTCCGCGCGGTTCACTGACGTGCGCCTGGTTGAAGATCGGCGCTGATTGGCCTGATTTACTCAACAATTACTCCTTTATTATAAATGATAGAAAAAAATGGTAAATAATAGAAAAAGATTCACAAACCTGGCAACCCTCTCAGGATTATTATTTCCTCAATAGTCCGTTACATAATCTTGCAATATTTTTACATAAAATAATTTTAAAAAACCTTGAACCTCCGTCGAGCTTTGTTTATAATAGCTTTCACCTTGCAAGTCTGATCTCCGAAGTAACATTTGATGAATCATTTGAGTTAATCTCTCTCAATGTTATATCTCTATTTACTAACATTCCAATTGATCTTGCAATCAGTGGATTGGAGAAAAGATGGCACTTGATAAAACACAATACAAGCTTACCTAAAGAGGAATTTTTTCTAGCTCTCAATTTCGTTTTTAACTCCACTTTCTTTTTAATAACAAATACTATAAACAGACCTTTGGTACCAGACCATTAGTTCTTTATCTTTCATTCTATCTCTACATGTCAGATATGTTGATGACAGCTCTTATGGTTCCTAGAGATCAGTTTGATGTTGTTTTAAATCTTTACAATTTATATCACTCTCGACTTCAATTCACCATAGAAGTTGATTGTGATAGACTCAACTTTCTGGACATTACAATTATAAAAAATAATAGATTAATACATGACTATCAAAAGCCAACGTTCTCAGGCAGATATCTTAATTATTTTTCAAACCATCCTATCTGCCAAAAAAGAGGCATGGTCATGGGCCTTGTGGACAGAGCCTTCTTTTTCTCACATCCTAAATTTCATTCAAAGAATTTTGACTTGATTTTTAATATTTTAACTGACAACAATTCTCGTGACTTTATCTATGACATTTTTATACAAAGACTGAAACATAATTTTTTTTTAAATAATGACTTTTAAATATTGAGGAAGGTTTTTGTCAAACAATACTTCAAACGACGTACAGCTTCGTTGGTTTGTGATGCCTTATATAAGTAATTTTTCTGAAAAGTTTTTAAAATTATTTTCAAAAGACAATAATACACGCTCAGCTTTTTATAATATTGATAAATTGTCTAAAGTCATCAATGTTCTCAAGGATCCTCTACCTCTATCTATACGTCCTTTTGTTGT